TTAGCTGACGAATGGCTCCAAACCAGCAGTGACGGCACTGGGAAGGCATCAGTGGCCGATGTCGCGTTACTGCAGATCTGTTCCTTCCCCTTCCAGGTATAAAATCCAAGACCTTGGATTCTCTTGTGAACATCTCCAAGGACGGGGGATTCGTGATGCTTAATGCCTTTTCGGTCACGGGAGCTCACAGAACGAGACCTGGGTCCCTCACAGGTCAGCTTTGAGGGGGATCGGCAAAAAGGTTTTCTAAGCTGGTGCTGGCAATGTTAAACTTTTTGTGATGGCAAAGGAGAGCAGACAGTGGTTTCAGTTCTGCAAATGCTTGTTTTTATCAGTCCTGTCCTGTCTGGAGGGGCTTGTACAACTGTGATTGATGTGGCTGCTCCACTGAGAACAGTCACTGCTTCTAGGAAAGGAAGGAGAGAAAATATTTGAAGTCCTTCATCAAAATTGGCATTTTAGTGAAGGCTGACTCTATTTTCTGTCTTCTACAATGAATTTTCCTTTTCCTGATAGCAAAACAGCTGGTAGAGAAGGTGGGAGGATCCTAAAAATTGTGGATTAAAGTATATTTCAGTCATTCCTGTATTTTCAGACTGTTTGCCTGGAAAAATGCCCCTTTACCTGAGCAACGGAGGAAAGGAAGCCATCTCCACACAGCCAGCATCTTTGAGAAGCAGCAGAGGGTGGAGGGGTCCCAGGAACGAGACAACGGGGTCTCTTCTCATTAGCAGAGTAAAAGGAGGAAACTAAGGAACCATAAACCAGCCGACTTCAAATCATGGAAAAACAGTGGGACATTTAATCAAAGAAAAAGATGAGTAATAACGATGGCCATTGCCAAGGATGAATCATTTCAGATGAGTCTGTTCTCCTTCTGTGGCAGATTACAGTCCTTGGTTCAGCATTATTATTCACTGTTCCTTCATCAATAACTTACGTGTCGTAATGGAGAATGCGCTTATTAAATTCTCAGATGCGCCTGGGCTGGAGGGACTGCGAGCACCCCAAAGTGCTGAGTTAAAATTCAGGACGATCTAGACAAATTGGAGAGATCAGTTCAGTATGGAAAAGCCAACATTTTGGAAAGAGTAACTGTCCAACCCCAAGGCGAACAAACTGCTTACACAGCAGTTTTTAAGCAAAAGGCCGATAGGCTGCACCGATCATGAGTTACGCTGTTGGCACGTTGAATGCCAGTATGGGATATACAAACCGAAGAACAGTTTGTGAAACAAATGATGTTTTCCGTCATCTCTCCAGCAAAAGGATCTCTTGACTGGTGTCCTACGATCAGCTTCCAGTAATAAACCAGTTCTGTATCTTCTGTAGCTTCTCCGCTAAATTTTGAATGGGAAATTCCTGGTAAACTGCCCTAGGATGCTTGACCTTCTCCAGAAATGTGTACTTCTGTGTCCCTTTCCAGGACGCACTCTCTAGGGTCATGACTTTTTATCAGACGCTGATAAGACGAGTGTCCAAGCTACCTGGACAACACCGTTTGCAGCCCCTCAAGAGACTGGTAAAAGCGTGGTGATCAGGTAAGTCATAACCATCAAGCTTGTTTCCTGATGTCATTTGAGTTCCTCTTTCAATAAAAATAGCTCTGAGATGCCACTTGCCTTGGTGACTATCACAAAAAAATACCGTGTTGTTCCGTGGGCATCTGTGAACCATAGATGCTTTGTCCATCGAGAATGAATGTTGATGAGCAGTGAGAAAGGCCTCCGGGTAGCAGAGACATCAGAATAGGCTTTTGGCTCACCCGAAGAGGAGTTCATCTTCCTTCTTCCCCTGAAGCTGCCTACTCTGCCTCCTGGGCACTGCCATGGCCTGGGTCCACCTCCTCCACGTTGCCTGGTGCTGTTTTGGGCTGCCACTGCTGTTGCGATGCAGAGATTGCCTCCTCCTCCTCAGCACCAGGGCTGCAGCAATACAAGCTGCAGCACCAACCTGGGCAGGCAGTGGGGGAAATATTTGACCTGCGCCGCTCCAGACCGCTGCGGCTGTGCTGCATGCGGGTCCTGGGGCAGCCAGGCAG